GTATTTGGTCTTCAACGAGTCGACTCACGAGTCATAACTTACTAGTTCAGTTCAGTTACAGTTCTGCTGTTAGCTATATAACTACTGTCGCTTATCTAGATAGAACTGTCAGCATAGCTAGAACTGTGTCTACCTCCGTGACGATGGACGACTTGAGTCAGTCATCTCTGTCGTCACCCCCATCATCCGTTGCATTTTAAGTACCTGTTCGGTACTTTAATACTGACTATGGGAATGGACTAAAAATTGAGTTTTCCCATTTTTTACCCTAAAAACATTGTTTTTTGTATTTTTCAAGATATTTTGTGGTACTTGACAAAATTAATAATTTAAACTTAATATGTTCAGAATATACCAGAGTACTTTTCCAGAATATTCTGAGAATGTCCTCCAGATTTCTAGGCTATATAAAAATTTTCTTAGAATATTTTTGTTGAGTGATCTGAGTATATTCAAGGAAATTGCCTGGGATGTTGAGAATGATATCAAACATTTTGGAAAATTCCAGGAAATCCTATTATTTTTCATGTTGTATTTAAATGTTCGACCCCGCCTATTTTGAAATTCTGGCTACGTCACTGTTTGGTATCAAATTAAACTTACCAAATTTAAAATAAGAGTTTTAGGAATTTTTTACATACTTCAACCTCCTTTGTTTGAATAATCTTTATGTTAGTCTGGAATTTTCAGATTTTATTTTAGTTACTTTATACTGTTCATTTAAACAGACCAATAATGCATCTGCAACTATGCATGCAACTTTGCAATACAAAAACACCAATAAATAATAACAATGGTATATAAAAAGCTGTTGTGTTTACTATTTTATATTTTTGAAAGTGCATATTATGCAAATATTGACTACATCAGAACTTAAGTTTAGAAACAAAATGAAAAATAACTAAAAGAAGTATAAAAAAAAATTATTACAGCTGGAAATAGTGGCATTGTAAATGATCATTCAAATTTAATAGTTTATGTAGAACATTTATTTTAAAACATATAAAGTAGGTAAATCATAAACAGTGGTTAATTTATCACAACAGTCCGTACTATCACACCTCGCACTAATAACAAAACATTTTTAAGTCTTCAATCAGTTCACCAGCACCTCAATCAATGACTCTGTAACAAAAAACTGTGTTTTAGCTTTAATTTAATAAACTTGGGCAACACATTCAATGTGAAGCCTACAGCGTAGTTCACACTAGTAAACATATTGTATGTGGTACTATGGGGTTATTGCATGAAGTTTTGGCTGTTATTTTTTATTCGTGTCACTATAACATAATAAAATATACAGTACAATAGACTCCCTCTTATCCAGACTCTCGGGACCGAGGTCAGTACGGATAATGGGGTTTCTGGTTAAACTGACGTCCCAGAAACTCATTAAAACTGACCGTTTAAATGCATACTGTATATACAGTAGGTATTTGACTAAAATGTAGTAGATAATTTTATTTAGACTAGTAATCACTGTTCTCATATCCTTAACACAAGAATAGTCGTTTCAATAAAGCTTACCTCCCACTTCCTACCGACCTAGTCCGGCTAAACCGATGTGCTGATAAAAATTGCCCGGTTAAAGAGATATGTAATTTCCACCGAGTGTTGTCTGGTTTAACCGATGTCAGGTTAAAAGGTGTCCGAATAAGAGGGAGTCTACTGTACCTTATCATGGCTATTAAACATGGTAATAATGTTCCCTAATATGCAGCAAGGAAAATCAATTTTACTTAGCATAAATACAAAGCGAAGAGGACTGATTCTGAAAATTGCATTGCACTGCAACAGCAATGTTATGGGGTAAAGTTCTGCAGAGAAACTTTAATTTATTATACTATCCTATCAAATTTTCAGTTTCTATAAATTAATAGGCCTACTGACAATAGCTTCAAATTTATATAAAATATATTGATTAAGAAATAGGCCTGCTTATTAATCTGTTAGCCTATGGGTCTTTTTAAAAAGAGGACCACCCGCCAATCTTTTACAGACCATTGCGGCGTTTAGGTTATGTTAGCTTATAGGCCTACCACATAGAAAAAAACCACGCACCTGTTTGAGTCGTGCATGCAGGACAGCAGGAGAGTCAGAGTGGTGGGGAAAGACACCTCGCCCCAACGACTTATCCCCACCACTGCTCCAGGCCCTTCCCCACCATCACCCTTCACCGCTACGTGCGCGAGACAGCCATGGTTCTGCGCAGGTTCTTTTGAAAGTGGTAGGCCTATAGTTTATAAACAAACAAGGTATCATTAACAAAATTTTTAGCTTTTTTCTATAAGCTAAGTTAGGTACTCATGAAAAGACACGACTAGGTATAATTTGGCGCTTTTGACAATCAGTTTTGATAGAAAACTGTACAACACTAACCCAACCCAATGATGATACTATTGGAACAATTTGTATTTATTTATTTGTTACCTGGTTTTTATTAACATAAACTAAACCAAACTGAACTAACCTTGTTTAACCATCACAGCACAGTGTGAAAGTCTATTTGAAAAGACTCTATGGCTTTAAATATTCATATCACGATACCTTTAATACTCAAAACAAAAATCGGAATTTATATCGCAGAGAATAATATAAAGTACGATTTGTATAACGAACTGATATTTCACCCAACATAGGTATATTGAAGGTACTGATATTGCAGGTTCTCTAAAGGACTTAACTGCAGTTCTTATTAGCCTATATTGTTTATAGTAGAACATTCTAGCATAAAATGAAGACTGTAAATGTATTGTTTTATCAAAATTACCACAACTAAAGAAAAAATTGTGGGCCTAGTTATTTTGATCTTCATAATAATATGACCATAACAACCATAATGATTTTTACATCACTAAGGAGTGACACACCTAAGTGTCTTAAATTTAAGATCAAGTATAGCGTGCTGTGAAAGGAGGCAAGAAGGGCATGCTGAAATAAGAAGTCGTATTATTCCAGTAAAAATCCAATATAATGAAATAAAATCTTAAAACTAACAATTGTTCTGCATGATATTGACCTTAGAAAATTAACAAAATTGATATCTTCACTTAACCAAAATAAACATTACAATCATTACTAACCCCCCCCCTTTATTTTGCCCTCCCCTTTCTTTGATCGATCAAACCTTATATATAAAAATCCCCCTAAAACTTCTTGTCCTCTCCAAAGTCCATACTTTCCTACTTTACAACTCAAATATAGGCCTAATCATAAAACTTGAAAATATTGATGTGTAACATGGTGAAGGGTACTCATCACTTCACGGATGCTGTCTTCAATCCTTGGTGGAGCTTCAGTGAGATGATCTGAGCCGGAGACAGTCTACTGGTGAGAAGACTTCCATGGTTTGCAAACAGATTGTCCACCGACGGTTGTCAGGCCTCCGAGAAGGTGATACTGGTCCCGACTCCTCCAGACAACAGATAGGCGATGGTGTACTCTCCGACGATGTTCAACTCTGGGACTTGAACCCTAGGACATGTTCCAAATTCGTACTATGGATCCCTTCTTTAATATCTTTATTATAGTATAGTCACACATCTATCCAGCAAAGTTAATTTCCCACAAATTGTTTCTGAAGTCTAGTTTACCACAATCAATTTTAACATAGAATACTGATAATTCTCATTTTGTTCTCATTGACAAACATTTGAAATAACCCCCTAAATCAAATCATTTGTATGTAAAAAATATAAAATATTTTAACATATCACCTTTTAATGAATTTACATAATAATTCAAATTGACCACAAAGTAATTTTTAATCAGCTGTCTCAAACATGTGTCTAATACATCTTGATTCTTTAACGAATTACTGAATCAGTTTACTGTGACATTTTAATTAAACACAAATAGCCTAAATTAAACATATCCTTCTTCCATATCGAAATAAATAACTGTTTAGACAAATCCTTAATAACTACCCCAAACTAAAACAATATTAAAATCCTGTCGGTTCAACTAGAACATGACTTTGAAACCAACCTAATTTTACCTTAAAAAAATAAAATTTAATCGAAATATTCTCTCTGAACAGTTACTGATAGTTATAAAAATCATTTAGATTGACACAATGCTCTTTAAGTTTAATCCCTTTTAAGATACAAAGCTAAAACAATTTTTTAACACTCGTTGAACCCTGAGCCAAAAACACGTGGTGTTCAATCTTCATATCTATCAAAATTTAAGTAAAATTATTAATTGGTTTACCCAAAAATGCTTAGCTATATATTTACAAATTGAAGTTGTACTGATTTTTCCTGGAATAACCTTAAACATAAATTGCTTAATTATTTGCATTACATACCTCCAAATCGAGGGAACAAGTTGACTGTCGGCCACAACTACGCAAAATGAGATTGAAACAACGTGGTTCTCTTCCAAACTATGAATCATCGCTACCCTAAGCCTAGTCTCGAACACTTGCCACCAGACTGCGCGCTTGCAGTTATCAATGCTGGTATCGACTTGAACTAAGAAAACCGGTTTCTTCTAGTTTTCCAGGATTTGTATTAACATTCAATTCTATTTCCTTATAACATATGAAAATAAAATATAATTTCTGTCACAATCGTGACAGGAGGGCAGATTGTTTGTTCCTAAAAGTAGGTAACGGCACAACAGTTTTTGGGCTCTACAAATAACTAGCCTACAATTTAATCGTTTTTAAACTTAACGTATATTTTTCTGTCGTCGGAGTTTCAAATAGCATGTTTCTCATGGCCATGTTACTCTAAATAATTTCAAACAAACCGCCATTTAAATTAAACAAACAATGTTTTAATATTCTGACTATTACAACTGCGCGAGGAAATGCCTCTTTCAAAAGGTTACAGCATTCTAAGTTATTAAGTTAGAGCCTATATGTGCGTATGAGTAGCCTTTATAAAGGCTAAGTATAATGTAAAGAATGGGTACTTTCCTGTTAAAGGGAACATTCATTATTGTAGATAATTTCTTTTTGAATATCGAAATGTTATTTTTCTGTCCGTTAGACAGCCATTCCCCATGCCTTTTCTGTTATTAAACGGAATTTTGAAACGGTAACATAGGCTATACCGGTACTGTATAGCAAGTTTGGTAAGTTATGATATAGGTTAGTTTAGCTTAGTTTGATTTTATAATCCAATAAAATAGGCTATTAAATGTTTGCCTAAACAAGGTTTGGCCTAAAATACTTCTAAATTAGTATATAATTTAAATGCGTTTGAAGATAACAGAAGGAATCTGTTATGGATCGTGAAGTAAAACAAAAATATTGATAAGCTTATATCGAAAAGAAATCATCGATAATAATGAATGTTCCCTTTAACAGGAAACTGCCAAATAATGAGAGACCCAATATAATATAGTAACCTAGTAGGGTACTATAGTGTAGGCCTGTCTATCGATAGCGGAACCTAGCCTTGCCCTACGCCAGGGTAATGCAAAACCTAGCCAAGGCCTAAGTTATTTTAATGTTAGTTAGTTAGCCTAAACATTTAATTGGCTGAAGGACCATATTTAGTGTACGGCATAGACTTTTTTCCAAACAGTTAATGGTTTACAGGCTATAGGTTTAAATGTGTCAACCTAAAGATTAGGCCTTTAAGTTATACAACTCACCCAAGGGTTTCTAATATGAAAGTTACACCACTTGGTAACTTATATTGTAAGTGCCTTTTACCACACAGCCTAGACAGTTCTTAAAATATATAATTATAAGATTCGTCCTTTTGCAATGTTTATGGGAAATGTCGGTAGTCCTAACCATGTCCTAACTGTGTGATCCTACAGGGGTACCTACAGTTTCTTAACTGGGCTACGATAATAAGTTATTGATTGAAATTATCGAATTGAAATATTGATTAATAATCGATATTTTAAAATATAATATCTATTATAAAATTAATTCATCATAACCTAACCTAACCAACCAAACTTGTTGATGGTGAAAAAAATCGCAGTTTACTAATCGAATCGATAGTTTCAATCGATAACTTATTAGTGTAGCCCAGTTAAGAATCTGTACCCTAATACAGCAATAAAATTTTACTTAAGAGCTACTAAACTAAGTAAATGTAATAGCATAATAACAGCTAGGGCCTAATGCTTATTGTTTTATTTCGACAACACTTGGAACAAAACACAACAAACACTTTTAAAGACTAATATAAACTAACTTACAAGGGTGCACGGGGCTGGCACGGTAGAACCACCCGACTTCAAAACATACGATACTTCGATAAAACCTCAAATTATTAAAAAAAACACACAGCTTAAACACTTAAGACTTTGAAAACTACAATCGCTATGGGGCACGGCAGGGGCAGACAGGCAGATCGGCAGATAACAGAACGACAGAACAGTAAACAACTCTTTTGCTTCAATTGTGTGAGAGTCGTTCATTTGAGATCAGCTCAATTTTACGGTTTGCGCATGCGCAGTAGGCTAGTCCAATTCCTGCCCTGAAACGCTCGCATTCCAGCACACTTTTTTTTAAATGTATACAAAAAAGTGTGCTCTTCATAACGGTTATAAAAAAAGTGTGTTCTTCTAATAATTGTGATATAATCAATTGTATTTGGGCGGGCCAGCCGTGATTCTGATTCATGATTCATTTCAGCTACAGATCTATAAAACATACCAAAAAACTGTGCTGAAAGTGTGTTCACAGGAATCATTAATAAAAAAAAGTGTGCCGCCCCCGTTAGGGCTGGGTAATTTTATTACCCTTACCAGTTAGGGGTTATTTGTTTAGTAACTTGGGAGGCACACTTTTTTTTATTAATGATTCCTGTGAGCACACTTTCAGCACAGCTTTTTAGCATGGTTTATAGATCTGTAGCTGAAATGGGCGGGCTGGGTAATTTTATTACCCTTACCAGTTAGGGGTTATTTGTTTAGTAACGGGGTTGGCACACTTTTTTTATTAATGATTACTGCGAGCACACTTTCAGCACAGTTTTTTGGCATGGTTTATAGATCTGTAGATAAAATGGGCGGGCTGGGTAATCTTATTACCCTCACAACTCGAGGGTTATTTGTTTAGTAACGGGGGCGGCACACTTTTTTTTATATATGATTCCTGTGAGCACACTTTCAGCACAGTTTTTTGGAATGGTTTATAGATCTGTAGCTGAAATGGGCGGGCCAGCCGTGATTCTGGCCCGCCCAAATACAATTAAATATATCTGAAAAATACAGAAAATATATAGGCCTACGACTAATAACACTTGCAATAATAGATTTACACTTATACTGTTGACTTACAAAACGGTAAATACATGTTAAAGTTGGTAAGTGGTGATCGATTTCGATTGGACACTCCAATCATCATCAGACCCATAGGCGAATTCGTGAATAAGTCAACAGTATAAGTGTAAATATATTATTGCAAGTGTTATTAGACGTATATATTTTCTGTATGTTTCAGGTAATTTAATAACACGTACGATGCTAATCAAGAAGTTATTAATTAATTATATCACAATTATTAGAAGAGCACACCTTTTTTTTTAATAGCCGTTATGAATAGCACACTTTTTTGTATTCATTTAAAAAAAGTGTGCTGGAATGGGCGATCCAGCCTCACGTCACTAACTTGAAGGACTAGACTAGAACAGAACCAAGAAAGAACGGCGCCGGCGCGGTAGCGGCGAGCGGCGGTGGCGTTTAAAGGCGTCTCGGTTCCCCTCCCCTGTCAGGAACTGATGAGAACCTCTTTAGAGAAGGAGTGGGGGGCGTGACGTCACTCTGCTCTTTATGGAACACCATTACCGTAAAGCCTCGTCCACACATGGCGATTTGTCTGCGGAAACATGGTCTGCCGACTGTCTCCAGTATGTTGCTATTTTGTCTCCAGTATGTCGGCCTACTGTCGGCAGACAAATTTCGGTGTTTCTTGAGACAAAATACAGTGTTTTCTGTTTCCCGTTCGAATGGGAAACACGGAGACAAGAGACAAAACTTTTGTCTCAAGTCTGCATATGTGGACGTGTCTGGAGACAGGAGACTGGATACAAGACGAAGGTGTTCAACATTCAGCCCATTTAGTTAGACTACAAAGCGGTAATATTACGATTTTTGGGCGGTAATAAAAGAGCTGGATTGAGTTTCTTGAAGGTTTTGGAATTAGTTTTCAATGATTTATATCATTATATGACATTTTATTGAATTGTTCATCTCTTCAAGTTTAAAATCTTAAGACCAACAAAGCCCAGCAAAATTTCAAAATCTTTAGAAGTCGACCTCGTGAAGTTACTAAATCCTCCACCTAATCTGAATGTCTGATAGAGGATTGCGACCATCGTACGAACCTTGCTCGAGAAAATGTAGAGTCCATCATAGTCTCTTCCTAGATTAATAGGCCCATGGCTCAGAAAAATGAAGCCCGCATAGGATATAATTACGTCCTCCTCGGTCACCATACCAACAAACATGGAAACACTGGCTAGCTAGTGTGGACGCAAAACACATCGGAAACTTGTATCTGAAACTGTGTTGACAGACTTGTCTGCCGACTGTCCGCGCACAGTCGGCAGACAGTCGGCCGACTCAGTCTCCATGTGTGGACTAGGCTTAACAAGACGATATGATTCCAATTCGGTGTTCGTGACGTAGTTGATAGCGTCTCGGACTCGTGATCTGGAGGTCCCCACCCGGAGTTTGAATCCCGCCCGAGACACTAACTTATTGTCCAAGGCTTTGCTTAGATTGCGAATCTTTTGTTAGAATTTGAGGCATTTTATTTATGAACAGAACTATTTTTTTAAACTAGTAAACCTTCATTAGATTTTTCATTAACTTATATATTTTTTATATTATCAGCAAGTTTAGTTGGTTCGGTTAGGTTATGGCAGTTTAATTTTATAATAACAAATTTTAAAATTAATTTTATAATTAAAAATTAATTATAAGTAAACCTTCATTCGGTTTTTAGGCTATTTTATATCTTTTAGCGTTTTTCCCATATAGGGAATAAGCTATTACCGTAGTACTCATGGTAAGACCTGGACCCAGGACCGATTTAATTTTTCGTTTTGAGGTCCCTAGAGGCCAAAAACACCATCCGTTCAGATTCATATATATATATATATATATATCATCCGATTTTGATGAAATTTGGTACAAACGTGTAAACCTACGTTTATTCGAACGAGTTCGCGAACCAGCATGATCGGACTATATGAACAGGGGTTTATGGGGTAAAAATTGGTTTTTCCTATTTTTGAGCCTAAAAACTTAAAATTTAACAATTTCTTTTCAAAACATTTTATGGAGAATAAGTAAACTGTTAAGTTGTAGTTTGCTTGTTTATGAACATATTTTGATCAGATTTGGAAAATGCATTAATTTCATACTTAACTATTAAAATTTTACAAAAAATAAACACACACCTTTTTACCCTCCCTGTTACAGCAAACCTAAGTACTCGTTAAACTAATGTTATTTAAATAGGGAATTAATGTGACATTTTTAAGGAGACATTTTAGTGTAAATCCAATCAGACAAATGGAAATTCGCTTAGTCTGCAGGTTTGCTGCGGCGGGGGTATTTTATATTATCAGCAAGTTTGGTTGGTTAGGTTAGGTTATGACAGTTTAATTTTATAATTAAAAATTTTAAAATTAATTTAATAGTTAAAAAGTTAATTTTCTAACTAAAATATTATAAAATAAATTTAAAGATTTTCTTAAATTGCGTGTGGGGCTCTCCCACAATCCCCCACTCTTTCGCAGAAAAGGTTCCCGTCAGTTTCTGGAACAAGCGGAAAATGAGACGCTAGTGCGCTGAATTTTTATTTCAGGTTTAGTGTTGCCTACAGTATTTTGAGGCTTCTGATTGGCTGAGGGAACATAATTACCGCAACGATACGGAGTGATTACAACGACCTCGGTAGTGTAGTGGATAGCGTGCTGGACTGATAATCTAAAGGACCCGGGTTCGAATCCCACCCGAAGAACTTAATTTTTTGTATTTGATTTTTTCATTATCAACACGTTTGGTTGGTTTGGTTAGGTTATGATGGTTTAATTTTATAATTAAAACATTATAAAATCGAATTTGACCCATTTATAGTTTTATTTTATGAACAGAAACATTTTCCCGAATAAAACCTTCATTCGATTTTTCATTATCAGCAAGTCTGGTTAGTTTGGTTAGGTTATGATAGTTTAATTTTATAATTTAAAAATTATAAAATAGGATTTGAGGCATTTATAATTTTATTTTATGAACACAACTATTTTTTTGATTTATAAACCTTCATTAGATTTTTTCATTGTCAGCACGTTTGGTTGGTTTGGTTAGGTTATGAGCATTTAATTTCATAATAAAAAAATATAAAATTGAATTTGAGGCATTTATAATAATTTTATTCTATGAACAAAACTAATTTTTCAATTAGTAAACCAGTAAACCTTATAGTCAATCAGAAGCCTCTAAATGACACTGTTGGCAAAATTAATCCTGAAAAACAAATTGTGCCGCTAGTGCTAGTTTGTTGGTGAAGTGAAGTGATCAAGTGGATTGGATCAAGTGAACGAACAGTGAGAGTGAACGAGAGAACGTGCAGAGGTGCAGAATCAGAATTAATTAATTAAAGAAAAAGAATAAGGGAAAGGGAACTCATCTTTGCGGCGGTTGTGTTTGTCCTTTCGGCCATTTACTTATAGTATTTATTTATTTATTCAATTATTTATATACTTATCAAAGCATGGCTGACACGGTAAGTTGTATGAATTTGCTTTTTCTTTTGTTTACTGTCAATTAAATTACAAAATAATATCAATCTTCTGTAACTGCAATGCTCAATCAATAACGTTCACAATCACATGCTCAAAATATTGTCATAATTTTTATTTATCCATTATTTTAAATCGTACGAAAATAATGAATAGAATTAAGATTGCTTTAATTGCCATAATATTTTATTTGGTCTATCTACTAGGCAATTGTTTATACCAATTTTTGAATGGTGTCATTATTTTGAATAGCCTAAGTTACTTGTCATTATTTGTTAATAAGTTACTTAAAATTAAAACTATTTCCCAACAATTCAACATACAAGTCTAGCCTAAGTTATTCTTTTGCTATGACTTGTAGGTTAGACCTAGGTGTACATCTTGCCATCTTGCCTAAAACGTTAATAGGCCTAGGCCTACCATTACCAACTCCTATGTCGTTGCCCAACACTTGTTGGATAGACTGCGTCAAATAAAATTTACAGTAATAAAACTAGGCTAATAAAAAAAAACATTCTTATTCAACCAATATTTACAAATAGAAAACTAGTGATGGCGGTGCATATTATATGTTCGAGAAGTAGGCCCTACTCAAAAGAGTAGCCTACAGCGGCTCATACATACATGATACATGATCTCTCCGTCCGTAGTCCTTTGCCTTAAGGAATTGGACAGGTCAGGGTTAATACAAAGAATAACCAGCTTAATACTAATTTTTGTCACCGTCTAGGTAACTGTCTATGTCCTCTAAACTTAACTCTACTAGATATTTTTTTAATTCTGATTTGAATTTTCTTAAGCTCTGAATTTCAAGTAATTTTTTCGGTAGGGCCTGGTACAATTTCATTCCCATGTAATCTGGTTTGTGTTCAAATTTTGTGAGTTTATGTTGGACTGCATGTGTGCCCTTTGTTCGTGTGTTGTAAGTGTGATTTGTAAAAGTTGGTTTAATGTTCTGTGATTTTATATAGCAAACTGATTCATAGATATAAAGTGAAGGGACTGTGAGAAAGCCAAGTTCTTTATAAACATTTTTGCAGCTGGTCCGAGGCGGCATGCCCAAGATTGCTCTTACTGCCATATTCTGCCAAACAAAGATCTGGTCAATATTCTTCTTAACAGCTCCCCATAGAATGATTGAATACAAAATGTGCTGTTCTATTAGGCCAAAATACACAAGTTTAGAGAGAGCCAGGTTTCCGAAGGTTCTTATTCTTCGAAGTACAAAGACCCCTCGAGCCATAGACCCCTCCAGTTTTTTTATTTGTGCATCCCAGCTCAATTTATCGTCCAATCTCACCCCCAAAAAGTCGGCAGTTTTTGAAATTTGAATTTGATCCTCTCCAATTATTAGGTTCGGAGTCCTATTATTTTTTAAATTTTGTCTTTTTGCAGTTTGGATACACATGTATCCTGTTTTTTGTGAATTTAATTTGAGTTTGTTTGAGGAGAAAAAGTCAGCCAAATCATTTGCTCTTTGATTAGATTCTGCCTCCAGGGCCGCGTCGTCAGTTCCCCTTACGAACAACGTTGTATCATCCGCAAAGAGGTAGACGCTGTCCTGCGGAACAGTATCTGTGATGTTGTTGATGTAGACCAAGAAAAGGAGAGGTCCAAGGACAGATCCCTGGGGGACGCCATTGGAGATCAATTTTTTGTTGATGAAATTCTTTCAGTTTTTGAATTTGAGTTTTTTTGAATCTCAGTGACTTGGAATCGGTTGCTCATATAGGATGTGAGCCACTTCAGCGCAAGTCCTGAGATTCCAATTGATGCCAATTTTTCCAATAGAATCGCAGGTTCGACACAATCGAAGGCTTTGGAGAGATCAGCAAAACAACCAACTACCGTCTCTCCAGCCTCCATTGCGTCTATACTGCTGTTGATGAAATCAATGAGTGCCAATTTTGTTGATTTGTTGCGTCTAAAACCATATTGTCTGTCACACAATATGTTATTTTTTTTCCAAGAAGTTGCTAAGTTGCTCCGAAACAACTTTCTCAATCAATTTTGAAACAACTGGTAGGAGAGAGATTGGGCGATAATTCCCCGGATCAGTTCTGTCTGACTTTTTAAAAATTGGTTTTATTTTTGCAATTTTGCAATTCTGAGGGAAAATTCCAGATGTCAGTGAAAAATTGACAATGTGGGTAAGAGGAACTGCCACTTCCTCCCTACAATATTTTAGGACATGCATACTGATTCCATCTACACCACTAGAGTGTTTAGATGGTAGCTTTGAGAACAAATCCAGAAGGTAAGCAGATGTAATCAAATGAAATTGTCCAAGTTCAGCAGTGCCATTCCTCCTAAAACCAGATAATTTGTGAGTTCGTTAAAAATCTGCATGGAGAAAGCTTTCATGTCTTCAGTGTGGGCATAGGGAAATGATGTCGATTTAGGTGACCAAGAGAACCATACTTAGTAACTTAGGCCTATTTATATCATTACTTTAGAAACCAAATTTTTACCAAAAATTTAAACATCAACAATTATGCAAAAGTTGCATAGGCTAATTTTGAAAACAAATGGAAACAATGGTGCAAACGTTTGGCAATTATTCCTTATCTAAGTTACATTGGGAAAAGATGTGATTTTAATAACTAAACTTGCGTGAACCTGGCAATAAGTAGTGCACACGCCATAAAAAATCTATTGCTGGCCGTTTTGCGCCAAAATATGGCCACGAAATATATTACCGATGATGCCAACAGATAGAGGCCACTTTAACGGACACGACAGTACAGTATCAACATCATGTACCTGGGGAGTAAGTAAGGGGGGGTAAACTCAGTTAAAGTAGTGTGCGCGCCATTAAAAATCTATTGCTGGCTGTTTTGCGGAAAAATACGTCCGCGAGCCATATTACCGATGATGCCAACAGATAGAGGACATTTTAACGGCCACACGACAGTACCAACATCATGTACCTGGGGAGTAAGTTAGGGGGGGTAAAATCAACAATAAGTAAGTAGTGTATTTGTGGTTCACACCAATATTTTAATAATTTCTGCCTACAGTCTTTTCACGCTGAATCCAAAAATGCAATCAGTTTTTGTCGGAGAGATTCCTAAGTGGCTGTAAAACGAAGGTTAAAATTAAGTTACGACTAAGGTTCATTGAGCGGTACTGATGGTTATATGGTGTGGTCCATATGTACTTCTGTGAAGCTGCCAATAACTTCACCAATAAATAGTGCATGTGTGTGTGTGTACTGTGGAGCGCGCGCCACTGTTTGGGGGGGGGGGTAGGAGAGGGGCATTGAACTGTAACTGTTGAGCGCGCGGGTGGGGGGGGAGGGAGCTAGAGAGATGCAATTTTAATTTATCTTAATAATGTCATCCGGTCGGTAGTAAAGATTATTTAGTTAGTTTTATTTTTTTTTTTGTAGTGACCATTTCCATTTAAAATAGTTCATATAATTCAACACACGCTGTATTACGAGGCCAATTTTACTGCTGTCGTGATTTGTTTAAAATTCGTTTCTTGTTATTTGAGTATACCGTAATTTAAAAGCACGTTAAACCAAATAAAACTATAAAATCATACACAATAACTCGTCCACTAGCTTTGTAACCAAACAGTCTAACAAACTATCTATTGGTGGGTATATAACAGGTCAATATTAACTGCCAACGGGTCAATATTAACTGCCTAAGGGTACCACTATATAAACTTGATAGAGGACATATTCACGGATACCACGGTATCAATGTATTATCTCAGGAACGCAGGAGCGCCTATCAAGGCGCATAGAAGTGACGACGCGCTCGCGCTACTATCTATTGGTGGGTATTTAACGGGTCAATATTAACTTGTAAAGGGTACCACTATATAAACTTGATAGAGGACATGTTCACGGATACCACGGTATCAATGTAGTATCTCAGGAACGAAATCAGCGTCTTCCAGGTCCAGGGGTCTGAAAAGTGACGAAGCGCTCGCGCTACTATCTATTGGTGGGTATATAACGGGTCAATATTAACTGCCAAAGGGTACCACTATATAAACTTGATAGAGGTCATGTTCACGGTTATCACGGTAGTAATGTAGTATCTCAGGAACGAAATCAGCGTCTTCCAGGTCCAGGGGGCTGAAAAGTGACGAAGCGCTCGCGCTACTATCTATTGGTGGGTATTTAACGGGTCAATATTAACCCTTTTAACCCCAGCTACTTTTTTAATAGAGTAGCCAAGATGCCCAAGGGAAAATATATGCGGAACGCTGAATTGTACTTAAAATGCTATAACTTTTTTATTTATTAATGTAATTGAATAATTTTTTTTTTAATTTGATTCCCAAAAATTCCTCTACTTAATATATGTAACAACAAACAAAACATAATTTTAAAAAATAAAAAAAATTAGTCAGTTTACTAATTTTTATTTATTTTTGTTTTTATTTTTTGAAAGTAGACCAATAGGCCAGTCAATAACAGCATTCAACATCGCAAACGCGCATGTATCTACGATTTTTTTATATGTTGTTAGGTCCCCTAAGAGTAGTTTATACCCAAGTTTGCAACCCTGAAAACCCTGTGCTACTCCCATGATACTTGAAAAACTGTAAAATTCTGGCTATTTTTTTGTTTTATTGAAAAAACTAAGTAAAGGAAGCGTTTATCAGGTATATGTGTCCTATACTTTTTTAAAGTTAACTAAATTTGCAACAATTGGAACACAGTTTGAGCCCATTAAGTCCATTTCTTGCGGATATACAGTTAGTAAAATATAGGAAAATTTTTTCAAACATTGAAAGATTATCGGTAGGCTCATTTGCCATGACGCGTACAGGCTGAAGTAATGATCATAGCGAGAAGTCTTTGGGATGCGTTTTGTAGAGAATTTAATAAGCTTTAATTAAATTCCAAAGTTGTGTGTCTAAGCCTTACAGTTTCACACAAATATTTAAAACATAATATCATATTTTGCGTAAATGTTGTATTTGGATCCTTCACAAAACGTCGCTCTGATAAGTTCTGGTC